TTCCCCGTACTCATTGACTGGGTCCTCACTCGGAGACATTAAAAACAATTATATATAAATGGAAACTGCTATGGGCAGAACTTAACTTGAAAACAACATATTGAAACTCACAACGAGAAACCTCTAGAGTTCGAACTTAACTCCATATCACTAGAGTTCAAGGTTAAACACTAGAGTACACATAACCTGAGGTGGATAGATTTCCTAAGCCCCAAAACAACATATATATCGCTTCATAAGTAGTGTCATTCCTACTCATGCAAAACATCACAAGTAGTTTCATTGCTACTCGTGCAAATTAGCACAAGTAGTTTCATTGCTACTCGTGCAAAATCACAATTCACATTATAAATTTCATTGATACTTATAAAACATACCTTAAGCAGTGCGGCGTGATGAAGACGAGTGGTCAACACAAGGTGTAAATTACAGAAACAAGTTATTCACATGTAGAGCAGTCTACAGAAACACAGACAGGCTCTGATACCAAACTGTAACACCCCACTTTGATTTTAATGAAATCCCAGGCTTTCTAAAAATCATGTAAACAATTTTCGAAATCATTTTCAAACATACATGGGTGTTAAACAACAATTTACTTAGTCCAAGTCTTATCTGGACCCACAGGGATTCGTAAACCCGTTTTTTTCAAATGGTTTTCATTAGCCGGTTCTCAACACATAACATATTACTCATCTTTAATCATAAAGCATGCATAAATTGGAATTTTATAAATCCAAACATCATGAGTAACTCAAATCCAACATAAACCAAAACATAAGTTCGAAACGGATTTTCAACAAGTCTCAACAATGTTCATGATAATACGGAAGCAATAAAATAACTAAGGACCACCCACTCGTCTCACCCGCCAACTGCTTAACCTGCATCCATGAAGAGCAGGTGGGAGTGAGCACAAATGATAAAGTAGTGCTCACTACTATGCACGTAATAACATGTAAATATGGTATGGTCGCAACATGAATAGAAATCAATCATCATCATGTCTCATCTCCTAATAATCACAACAATAACTCACTCATGTGCACATCTATCATTAGCCATGGAAAGGAGATTCATAAACCCTAACGACTGGAGTGCGTGCCACTGTAACAGACACAACCTTTCATTAGGTCCTAAGGAGATTTGCCTCGCAAGGGCAACCGTACCGTAACTTGACCGGGACAAACGTACCAACGGTCATAACAGCTCACATCGGTAGGCCACATGGTTCACATTCATACATTGGTCATACCAACTAAACATTTAATAACACGTATGGCATAGAAAATTTTATAAGTAAACCAACCTGGACACCGAGATATAGCCAAACACAAGGTTGAAAGAATAATGGCATAAGTTCATCTCGATGGGTTGTGCACGTCTAATCTGTGAGTTGGAGTTCGCGGCGGCGCGTGATGGCCCGTTGATGAGGGATCGTGTTTCTTGCCTCGGTTGTGGATAATCGCACACTAAGGTCCTTCGGCTAAACACGATAGATTGTGACTAAAGACGCTCTCAGGGCCTTCTTTTAGACACAATTGTATGATAAACACGCACTGATGACCTTGCTTAAACACACGAATGAAAGAAACGTTCCTTTTCTATTAACCACTCGACTCCTTAAAATAATGAGAGTACATGGGTATTTATAGGTGCAAAATAAATCTAAGCCTATTCTAACTAGAACTCCTAATCTTGCAAGTAAATAAACTCCTAAGAGAAGTAAATATCCTAACATCTAGAATTAACATACTAATAAAATCCTAACCATACTAAAAGTGTTCATTACTTGTCTTGCACTCTAATCCTCTTACTTACTCTCCACTCCAAGTTGGCCGCCTCCAATGACCTAGCCGCCTTATTGCGCGCGCCGCCTACTAGGCCTAGTCCTCGTTGCGCGCAGCAACCCGCGTCGCCTAGCCCTAACCTACCAAGGAGTGTGCTCGAGCGCGCCTCGGCTTTATCTATTCCTACTAAGAATCCACTCCAGGCTGCGTTACCTATTTCTCCGAGGATTACTTCCGTTGCTAATCTTTCACGAGTGTACCAGCGCTCAGCTGTTTTATTATTTATTTTAATTAGTAAATATTATTTATAGTTTTAATATCCTTCCTAATCTAATTAGGTATTTGATTAGGAAGATAAAAAAGAAAAAGGAAAACAACACTTTAGGACTTTTGGGACTCTTAACTTTCCTGCTGGTAGGCTGTGGAGATTAGAAGGCTTGAGGAAAAAGAAAAAAGGCATCGACTAAGGGTGAACGGAAAAGAAAAGAGGTTGCAGCAGTTTTCTCATATATTGTAGTAATTGGACTTTGAAGACATTGCTCATATTCTAGCAAAGAGAAGCAGCCATTCTTGAAATCACCTGGGAGCATATTGGAGCAATTGGACTTTGATAGTTTATCTTTGTCTTTGGCTTGGTTTATTCATGATATGATTTGATATTTTGCTTAGAATTGTCGAACTCGCATTTTCTGTTTTTCATTGTTCACTAGATGTGTTTTGAATCGGAAGAAATACTTTGTGGTTATTTTATTCTAGTGAATTTGTGGCATGATGCCTTAGTCTACAAGTGATTTTCACTTGTAGGCTAATTTTTTTTTTAATCTTTCGTATTTAGTTAATTTCCGCTGCGTATTTTAATTCTTGATTTTTGTGTGAAATCTGGATTGTTGCGTACCTAAAATTCTAACAAGTGGTATCAGAGCGGGTCGCTTAATTTAATAAGTGTGATTCTGTCTTGATAGGTACACATGGAGTTCAACGGAACTTCACTTTTTCGGCCTCCAATTCTCGATGGCTCAAATTACACCACTTGGAAGATGCGTATGACGTCCTACATTAAATCCATTGATGTACGTGCTTAGTTAGCTGTACTTACCGGATGGGTTCCTCCTACCGTAGAAATGAAGGGGAGAAACGAGAGAAAAATGAAGCCGAGTACAGTACGGGTGCACGTTAGTCAACTTCAATTCAAAAGCACTCAATGCAATTTTTGGCACAGTCGATGAGAACATGTTTCGACTAATCAGCACGTGTACTACTGCGAAAGATGCATGGGACACCTTGCAACGTCATTGTGAGTGTTCGAGGGGTGTTTGTCAAATGAGGCTACGTCTTCTTGCGGCAAAATTTGAGACTATTCGAATGCTCGAGAATGAGAATATCTCATCATACACGGCCAAATTGATGAGTATTGTCAATGAATGTCACTCCCTTGGGGACCCGATCTCAAATGAAAGGCTCGTGGCAAAAGTAATGAGGTCTCTTCCAAAGCGCTTCAATATGATGATCACGGCGCTTGATGTTTCGAAGGATGTGACGACCATTAAATTTGATGATCTTGTTGGCTCTCTGAAGACGTTCGAGATGAACCTTGAGGTGCAAGATCTCGAAGAAAATAATGCACCTTTCGGAAAAGGGAAGGGGATCGCTCTTCAGTCATTGTCCGAGAATGATGATAATTTTGAAAGTCTTGTTCGAGACATGGAAGAGAATGAGTTTGATGATGAAGGAGTAGCGTTCATGAAGAGACGGTTCAAGTCATTATTAAAGAAAAGAAACACTCAAGGGAATTACCAAGTCACCAAGTCTCAAATGCTCAGGCCATTCACTTCGTCCTCTTTAAATCGTTCAAATCCAACTGGAGATAAGGCAAAACCCGACAGTAGAAGAAATTTCACTCCCAAGTCGCTCGAGACCATCCAATGTCATGCTTGTAAAGGGTATGGGCACTATGCGAATGAGTGTGCCAATACTTTGCGCAAAAGAGGATTGAGTTTTAACATTACCTTGAGCGATGATGAAGAGGTAGATGACGGCTCTGTTGATTCTGAAGCTAAAAATAATGGGGATGCTGCTTTTGTGACCACAGTGAGCGATTTCAGGCCCAAACAGATCAATCCAACATGTGTCAGCAGAGGTGTCGCCCGAAGTGTTATGATACCTGACAGGTATGAAAATAAAAATTCTGAATTTTTTTGTCTTAACACCTTATTTTGTGACTCTTCAGGTAAGGATATAGGTCCTCCGGACAACATTGAATATGTTAACCATGAAGATCATGAAAAGGTGTACAAGGAGCTTTATAAACGGTGGATAGATGTTGTCTGGGATGCGGATAGGCTCGAGAAGGAGAACAAGAAGTTGAAGGATGAGAACAAGATGATATGCTCAGAGTCTAAAAAATTGGAAGAAGAGAATGATGCATTAAAGTCTACCATAACCCAGTTGGAGATGACCATATCAGGCCATGACCAAAAGGTAGTGAAGGTAAGAGAGGAACTTTAATACTCTCGTCAAACCTTCCAACGACTTAACACTGGTAAGAGCCATTTGGATGCCCTAGCAGCCATTGAACATAATAACAATAGAGTGGGACTTGGCTTTACATCTACCATTTTTGTGCATCCTTCAGAGGAAACATGTAAGTTTGACTTGAAATCATTGCCTAAAGCTGTTAAGAAATCGAAACAACGAAGGCGTAGATATGTTTGTCATTATTGTCATGCCCCCGGGTACATTAGACCTTTCTGCTATAAGTTGCATTCATTTGATAGGTCTTTTGAATCAGGAGTGTCGTCTGCATCTCGAAATTTGTCCAAAAATCACGTAACTAGAACTAAAGAAAAAATTGTTTGGGTACCAAAATCTGAGTTGAAATGCAATGTTATTTATACCTCTTTGAAGTCTAATATTGTAGTTACATGGTACTTTGATAGCGGGTGTTCGCGGCACATGACCGGCACTCGTGACTTCTTGTGCGATATAGAATCATATGAAGGTGGACGAGTTACATACGGGAGCATGGAAAGATTATAGGGCGTGGAACGCTCAACGTTGAAGGCCTCCCAAAGCTCCAGAATGTATTGTTGGTTGAAGGACTTATGGCTAATCTTATTAGCATAAGTCAATTATGTGATGATAATCTTCACGTTAAATTTGATCGCAAATCTTGTGAAGTTTTTAATGAGTCTAATTTGTGTATTTTAACAGGAGTACGGACCTACGACAATTGCTACCAAATCAAGACCAAGCCACTGTGCAATCGTGCAAAATTGGATGAGGTAGAGTTGTGGCACCAAAAGCTTGGGCATGTGAACTACAATATGATGGACAAGTTGGTAAGACTAGATGCTGTTCGAGGTATGCCATGATTGTCTTTTAAAAATTCTGTCATGTGTGGTTCATGCCAAAGAGGTAAACAAACGAAGGTGACACATTCCAACCCTCATACTTTTCATACATCTCGTTGTCTAGAACTTTTACATATGAAAGTATTCTTTTGTCATAGTTGATGATTTTCCCGGTTCACGTGGATATTATTTCTACGTGAAAAATCGAATGCATTTGATTCTTTTGTTACTTTGTCCAAACGAATTTGCAATTTGTATAACTTGAAAATTGGGAGAATTAGATCCGATCATGGCAAGGAATTTGAGAATTCTTCTTTTGACAATTATTGCTCTTAAAATGGAATTTTTCATGAGTTCTCGGCTCCTATCACACCCCAACAAAACGGGGTAGCTGAAAGGAAAAATAGGACCTTGCAAGAGATGGCACGAACTTTATTAAATTCGAAGTGTCTTGCTAAATGGTTTTGGGCTGAAGCCTTAAGTACGGCATGCCATATTTCTAATAGGGTGTATTTTAGAGTTGGGAGTACGATGACACCATATGTGATCTTGTTGGGGAGGAAACCAAATCTAAAATACTTCCATATTTTTAGTTGTGTTGCTTTTCTGTTAAATGACCGTGAAGCTAGATCAAAATTTGATTCTAAAAGCGATAAATGCATCTTTGTTGGATATTCTCCTAATAGTCAAGCATATAGATTGTATAATCTTAGAACAAAGACTATTATTGAATCCGTAAATGTTGTGTTTGATGATCACTCTGATTTGGCAGGTAAAAATGCTGAGGAGGATGCTCAGATTCTATTGGAATTTCCGCAATCTGCTGCTGATAATGCTGTCTCTGATGCTGTTCCTGATGTTGTCCCAAATGTCGTCCCAGGTGTCATGACACTTGACACAACACCTGATGCGACACGTATTTCCGACGAAAAGAATACCACTCCAAAGACCCCAATATGATCTGAGGATGTTTCTGACAGGAGACAAGATGTTCCAACCAGAGTTCAAAAAACTCACCCCATTTCGCAAGTTCTTGGTGAGGTAACGGATGGTATGCGAACTCGTAAGAAGCAAATATATTTTCGCGACATAGTAAAATTAGCTTGTATGAGTTCCAGCTGCTCCGAGGTAATGAATTCTTGTTTCATCTCTTTAATTGAGCCGAAAAATGTCCAAGAGGCTTTACAAGATGAGTTTTGGTTTAATGCTATGCAAGAGGAACTAGACCAATTTGTGAAAAATGATGTATGGTCTTAGTTCCTCCACCTAGTTATGGGAATGTTATTGGTACAAAATGGATTTTCAAAAATAAAATTGATGAACTGGGAAATATTGTGCGTAACAAAGCTTGTCTTGTAGCTCAAGGATATTCACAGGAGGAGGGAATCGACTTTGACGAAACCTTCGCTCCTGTTGCTAGGATTGAGTCCATTCGTTTGTTGCCTGCTGTTGCATGTTACCTAGGCATTACTCTTCACCAAATGGATGTTAAAAGTGCTTTTTTGAACGGTTTTTTAAATGAAGAGGTGTATGTCAAGCAACCAAAGGGATTTGAAGATCCTTTCAAGCCTGACAATGTTTTAAAATTAAAAAGGCCCTTTATGGTCTCAAACAAGCACCCCGTGCTTGGTATGAGCGATTGACAGAACACCTCTTGCATAATGGTTATGTTCGTGGTGAAGCAGATAGAACGCTATTTGTTAAACGTGGCAAAGGAAAAATACTTGTTGCTCAAATCTATGTTGATGACATTGTGTTTGGATCTTCGTGTGATTATATGTTGCATGAATTTGTGGAATGCATGACTTCTACATTTGAAATGAGTATGGTTGGAGAACTTTCTTATTTCCTTGGGTTGCAAATTAAGCAATTGCCTGAAGGTATATTTGTGTCTCAGTCTAAGTATGCTAAGAACCTTGTGAAAAGATTTGAACTTGAAACTGCTAAGCATATGAAGACTCCTATGGGCTCAAATGAAAAATTGGGAAGAGATGATGTTGGAGAGAAAGTGAATGAGACTTTGTTTAGAAGCATGATATGAAGCCTATTGTACTGGACTGCTAGCCGACCCGCTATAATGTACAGTGTGTGTTTGTATGCTAGATATCAAGCCAATCCTAGAGTCTCTCATTTAAAAGCCTTAAAACGAATCATTCGATACGTAGGAGGCACAACTGAGCTAGGATTATGGTTCACTAAAGAGACCAACACTAATCTGGTAGGTTTTAGCGATTCTGATTGGGCCGGTGATGTTGATGATAGAAAAAGTACGACGTGTGGGTGTTTCTTTTTGGGTAATAACTTAGTCTCTTGGTTTAGTAAGAAACAAAATTGCGTGTCTCTTTCGACAGCCGAAGCAGAGTATGTAGAAGTGGGTAGTGCATGTACACAACTCTTATGTATGAATCAAAGGATAGAGGATTATGGTCTCCACAGTGAAATCCTAACCGTATATTGTTATAACAAGAGTGCGATTGATATCTCAAAAAATCCGGTTCAACATTCTCGCACAAAACACATAGATATAAGACATCACTTTATTCGGGATTTAGTTGAGAAAAACATAATTCGCATTGAGTACATAGAGACTGAGAATCAATTAGCGGATATATTCTTTTTTTTTCGAAACGATAGAGATTATTATAAATAAGGCGCACAAATGTGCAAAGGTACAACCCCTAGCTGAACTACGCAGCCAACAGCTGAGAAAACAGAGAGGACAGATCCGAAGATCACCTAGATACCGACGCTAGCCATGCTAGAATCCAAACGGCACACACGAAACACAACACACACAACCTACACTAAAAACGCTCCCCAAAGGAGAATAAGGACGACCCCCACGGGGTAATACAGACTAACAGGGGCCAACAGCCCAAACAAAAAATACAAACCTAAACAACAAAGAACATAAGAAGAAACAAAAAAAAAAAAACACACAAAGCCCTTCCCCAGCAAACGAACCGTCACAACCAAAAGCGAACGATCGACTTAAGAAATATTCACCAAGGCATTAGATTTTGAGACGTTTTCTAACTTAAGGAAATCTCTCGGTTTTTGTGTTGCTTAAATTAGAATAAAAATCGTGTTGCAACTTCCACGACGCATCATTGTTGCAACACGAGTTTTGGATACATGCATTTTTTATCTCTTTTCATTCATATTTGCATTATTATTGCATAAACGGTGTATTTGTCGGAGGCATGAAGATGTAGTGGTGCATTCTTTCACTTGATAAATGGATTGTTGGTCGTATCGAAAAAAAAAATATGACCATGTAAAAAAAAAAATCGCATATTGGAGACTGTGAAGGGAAAGAGCTACCTACTCCGTAAGTGTGCAGCTAATCCTTGTGACCGAATTCTTCTATTATTGAAAATATTTTGAAAGAGGTATGATCATGTAGAAAGAAGGCTACCTTTGGTTTAGTGTGAAAGCTACCCGATGATAAGTATTCCTTCGTGCTAAAAAAAAAAAAAAAAGAGGTGCGGTTTTTCAGTCTGTGTAAGAGTGTTAAATGTGCCGTTATTTCTATGCTAACTTTAATTATAAAGTTCACGTTTACCTTTCTTTTTATCTTTTTAGGCATTCTTTTTAGGCATAATTAGAACATGCATACTTGGTGAATGTAAAAGCATTGATCTTGATTTCTTGTGCAAAGTGTGAATCATGGAATTATTTTCTAATTCTTTGGATAATTGGTGCTCTCTGTGGAGTGAGTTCGCAAGTTTAGAGATCTTGGGTGATTATGAGATTGACGTGCATAAGGATTGTAAATGTCGTATTTACGGTTTTGATTTTCAAGAGGTGATTTAATTCTTATTGGTTTTGGTTGTTCGTAATGAGTTTATGTGCTTGTCAGTCCCTTTAATTCATTTTCTTTAACTGCCATGTCGTCTCTAGTGTTTGGAGCTCTTTGTTAAGTCGTGCCCACGGCTTAGAGATATATGTTGCTGTCCGGTCTGTCTTATTTGCTGATTTTGTGTGTTTTTCTAAGCCTTGCCCATGTCTTATAAAAATTTGTTTTTGTTCCTGTGTGTTTTTTCTCTTTAAGTTCTGTGTAAATAATTCTCCTTGGTTCATTTTTTTTTTTCTATGCTAGCGTTTTTTTTTTAATGTTCTCTCTTTAGCGTTTTTTTTTTGTTTTTTTGTTTTTTTTTTGCGTTTTTTTCTTGTTTTAAAAAAAAAAATTATGTTCTAGCGTTTTTTTTACTCTCACGTTTTTTCTTCTCCCAAGTATCTCTCTCACAGGACATCTCGATTCCAATCTTAGGGTTTCAGAATTCTTTTAATTCTCTCAATCCTAGGTCAATTCTCTACGGCAATCTTTCATTCCGATGGCCCCCCGTAGATCGATGAGTAAATCTTTTGGTTCTTCTTCACCGGGTTCTTCTTTATCGTCGGCTGCCAAATCCCGACCTCGCCGAACTCCATCAACGACAACCACTGCAACTCGTCTTCCGTCGCCGCCTGGTCGCGTTTCGCGGCGACCGTCGCTCCGTGGTGATGGAGAAACTCTGCCGGCATCGACCACTCCTACTCCTCTGGTTTCCGGCGGTCCGCAGCTCTCGAGTAGGTGCTCCGGACGGGTCTCCTGCCAAGGTGAGACCTCACCTATTCCGCCGACTGCCCATTCCTCTGCCGTGCCTCGAGGTACCGTTTCCGAGTTGTTGCCGTCACAGACCGAGACTGTCGTCACACCGCCATTTTCAACAAATTTTCCTCCCTGTTCGTCAACATTTGGTTCAGATAATTTTGCATTAGCACTTGTTCCAGCGATTTCCGAGGATCCTCCCGAGCCTCTTGGTTCTATGGTGCCGGGTGTTGCCGGGAACCCGATCGATTTGAGTTTGGCTTATGATTTCAATCTTTTTGAGCCGCTCGGAGCCCCGGTTCTTTGCCGGTCAAAGCGTTCGCGTACAGCACCCACGTTGACCGGCTCACTACAATTTATTGCATCTCATTCTCTCGAGCCATATGTAGAGCCGACTCTTGAGTTTTCGGACTCTGAAGATGCGTCTTATGTTCCAACGTCCGATTCTGGGTCGGATAATCAGCCTGATGAGAAGCAGTCTCGTGTTTATATTCCTTATGATGATCATGAGGCCACTTCATTTATTCAGCCCGGCCGCGAACCCGAGCCTCAGACTGCAGCCGAGCCCGAGTCTCAGCCCGCACCAGAGTCCGCGTCTCAGCTCGCACCTGATCCTGAGCATCAGCCCGCACCCGAGCCTGAGAGTCAGCCCGCACCCGAGTCTGAGACTCAACCAGCCACCGAACCTGTGCTTTCATCCATGGCTACATTCGAGCATCAGCACATGGCTTCACCCGAGCATCATTTCAGCGAGTTGGATTTTTCAGGTGGTTCTAGTGACGAGACTTTGGCTGCTTTTATTTCGAGCGTAAAGAATCACTCGACCTCTGCTGCAGCTGTACCATGCTCATCGTCGTCTTCGGAGGATGACGACTCGAGGGATTGTGATTTTGTTGCTCCACCTGTGTCTGAGTCGCTCACCTCTGAGTCCACCGGACCTCACTCCTCACATGACATATCGTCGTAGAGAGATTCTCCTATTCCGGAACCCGTTTTTTGGGATAGCTCTGCCACTGGCTCTTTTGTCCGTACATTGGCTGCACCAGGCACGATGTTTTCTGATCGTTTTTGCACTTGTGAGGCACAGGACAGGTTTGATCTCTTCCGTTCTCTTCATGTGATCAACGATCGTCGTATTCATGTTGATTCATTTGCTTGTTATAATATTGATGATTTCCTACGACGACGTGATATTTTAACCTCTGTGTCCTATGTTGTGTCGTACGTTCGTGATGTTATTTTAGAGTTCTACGCTCACTTATCTGCGTCGGCTACTGAGGTTGTGGCGTCTAGCTCTGTTTCTTCCCGACGCGTGTTTGTTCGGGGATATTTTTATGTGTTTAGCCCTATTTTGGCTCGCGATTTT